AGCTCAAGGTGCAGACTTTTTACCTCCTAACTGTTGCTAAGTCGATATGGAGGTTGGATCTACTCTTCCTTCCTTGCACCTTTCTTCCAAGCCTTCAAAATCCACTCCAATGGACCTTATTCTTCACCAAAAGCTCAAGAATGAAGTCAGATGGCTAGGGTTTTGGGGTTCTGGATGAGAGAGGTTGTAATGAACCCTAGGGAGGAGAATAAGATGCTTAAATAGGGTACCAAGTCCTGAAATTAGGGCTTTCCCAACCCAGACCAGACTTACCGAGTCCATTCGCCGACTTGCCGAGTTGGTCACTTAATCTGCGACACGGAGTCCGCTTCGACTCGCCGAGTCATTCCTTGGACTCGACGAGTTGACCCCTTCTTGACTTAGGGTTTTCCTTTCCTTTCTTGGCCTTTCTGGATTCTGGGTGTTACAGTTTTGGTGAGCGGTGGGTGGGAGTGATGGTGGTCGGTGGTGATGGGTGGTGGCGGCGGGTGGTGGTAAAGGGTGGTGGGTGGTTGTTTGTGGTAGTGACAGGTGGTGGTCATAGTGGTGGGTGGGTGGTAGTGATGGGTGGGTGGTAGTGATGTGTGGTGGAGGTGGATGGTGGTGGTGGGTGGTTGTGGTAGGTAGTGGTGGTGATGGTGATGGGTGGGGTTGGTTGTGATGAATAGTGGTGGTGATGGTCGTCGGTGGGGTTTTTGGTGGCGGGTGGTGGTGATAGGTAGTGGTGGTGGAAGATGGTGGTTATGGTTGGCGGTGGCAGGTGATGGTGATTATGTTGGGTTGTGGTGATAGGTGGTGGAGATGGGTGGCGGTGACGGGTGGTGGTGGATGAATGGTGAGTAGTGTTGGTTAGTGAGTTTTTTAATTTTATTTACTTATTTTTTTCTTTATATTAATATTATATGATGATTTTAATTTTTTTTTAAATATGGTTTAATTTTGTTCTCAAATGTTATATATATATTATATATATATATATATATATATATATATATATATATATATATATATATATATATATATATATATATATATGAATTTAAATTTAAAAACTCGTAAACATATAAATTAGAAATATTTATATAAAACAAAAGTTGGGTGTAATTTGTAACATTCATTTAAATGAAAGGACTAACAGATAATATATAAATGATATCACCAAAATCAAAATTGACTGAAAGCCTTCATTTTAATACGAATTAAAAAAATTAATGTCAAATAAGAATAGGCTATCATTAAAGATCCTAGGTATGCCATTAGAATCCTCCGGCTGCTCCTTAGATTTGATCTTTGGCGGCTTGTTTGACTTTTGACCTATATGCATAAAAACTAAAAACTAAAAAAGAAAGAAACCCTCGTTTTGCTTTCGTATTTGGACTACGACAAATATAACTTTTGAAAGAGGTTGTGGACCCACAAGAGGAGGTTTTAACAAAAACGTCCCGCCTGAAAATGTATTTACCGGTATTTTAAATTTTGTTTACAATTAAAATAAAAACCCGTCTACAGCCACCTTCCCAATGCTGGAATTTTCTGTAGCCGCCCTGCGTCATTTTTTTTACTTTTTTTTTTTTTTTTTTTTTTTTTTTTTTTTTTTTTTTTTTTATATTTTGTTTCAAATGTCATATGTTTCTTTTACTGTAAGTTAGTTTTGTTAGTTTTGTATATAAGCTTTCTATATATTTTTTTTACTTCATAGGTTTATAGGCTTTGTTATCTCATGCGAATTTATGATTTTATGAATTTTTTTCCTATATCTATTTCCTTTTTCTAGGATTTCGGATTTGTAATCAATGGAGTATATTTTATGATTTAGAGTTAAAATGAGAGGAAAAAAATCTCTAGACAATACTACAAAATGGTATATATATGTACATTAAAGTAGAAATAGAATAAATTAATTTTCATGGAATATATCCGATGTACTTATTTCTATTAGTGATTGCACATACTCGATTTATATTAAAGATGTTTGATTATGCAATTTATGTTTTATTTTTATTTGGTATCGTTCTTTTATATCAGTTTCCAATAATTTCTTGTAAATAATTTTTGAGAAATTAAATTGATTCCTACTTTTTATGCCTACAAATATGCCTACCCAATAAAATTATGACAATTGTCATCTTTCCATATTTTTTAAACTAAATCATTAAGATTATATTAGGAATATATCAAATACAATTAAATTGAATGGTGATTTGTCATAATTTTAGTGGGTAGGAATAATTATAGGAATAAAAGGTAGGAGGCAATTTAATTTCTCATAATTTTTATTTTACAACGTGATGATGGTAACAATCATTGCTTTGCAAGTGGTTAACTTGTCTAATTTACCTTTTTATGAAACATAGGTTTCCTAAATCATGTGGAATGGTATTGTTATCAGTTATAAGTTTTCTAAAGAAAATAAAGAATTTTTTAATGCAACATAATTTCAAATGAATGCTATTTAAAGAATTTTGAATACAACATAAATTCAAATGAATGCTATTTTAGATTAATATAGTAGATGTAAAACTTGTTTATTATACGAGTTGATTACAAAAAATAAAATATTAAAATATAAATAATAGTTATTTTTTTAAATAAAATTTTAAAATAAGAAATGAATAAACATATTAATTGCAATTTAGTATAATATTTATTACATTTGATATTTTACATATATATATATATATATATATATATATATATATATATAAGTATAATTATTATATTATGTGGCTTTTTAATTTTAAAAATTGAAAAAAAAACCATAAATTGACATATAAATATTATTTATTTAAAAAATATCACAAAATGACAAGTATCAAAACTCATTAGAGATTGAAAAGATTATTATTATTATTATTATTATTATTTTTGCTACTTGACATGCTATAGTTGTTTTTGTAAAATGATATCAGAAAGTAAGCTTTCATTGAACCAAAATCTAAATTTTGTTTGTTTCCATTAAAACTTTTAGGATCTGTATCCTGCAACTTATGGCTTCTGAGGTGAACTTAAATATGAGGAGTGATTGGTATGTAAAAGTTGAAGATCTATTGAGATCCGACATGAAAACATTTGCCAATGCTCCAATAACTTGACATACAATTGATGATATTAAGGAGGTGCTCCTTACTTTTTTCATTTTCATTCTGCTCTTTTTTCAGTAAATAAAAGATAATTATATATATTTTCTTCACATTATTTTAACGATAAGAAGGAAATAAGTCTGAATTTTTGTTGTTGGTTATAAATTTGTAATGTGTACTTTAAGTTGTAAGAAGGGACAATAAACAACAGTTTATCTTGGTTGAAGAGAATAGGGAACTTTTGATTCTTGTAAACCAAGGTCATACAGTATCGGCATGTAAACAATTATTTATTCTTTACGGTTTTATCTTATGCAAACATTGATTTGTATATTATAGCATCATACTTTCATTTTTACTTTGAAAGTATGTTGCTATTTCTTGCATCATCTTTTTAATAATTACTTGGTTGGTTGGTTGGGTTGGCAGTTGGTTGAAACAGAAAGTCTCACATGAAGAATTTCTTGGTAATGACATTTTATAGTTTTTTTGCTTAATGTTGTGTCTGTTTTATTACTTGTGTTGATGTCCTGAACCTGCTTAAAGAATTTAAAATCAATATTGGAAAGTGGTCTTAAACACATACAAAGCCTACATGTCCATTTCTCTTCTGGATTACCAACTGATGGTGAAGTAATTAGTGGTAAAAATTTCTCATTATTTGTGTATTATAACACCATACTTCTAATTCTTGCTATTACAACAAAAATTTCTTATTACGACATTCTTCGTACTCTGAAAACATTTACCATAGGTTTTAAAAGTACATTGCTAAAACAAAGAAACAAAAGTAGGACAGTATAATAAACAAATTTAATTGATAAAAGTATGTTGCTATTTCTTGTGTTTAATCTTTTGGTTGCAAATTTGTTATTGCTTTGGGTTTTCCAAAGTACAATATCTTGGTAAGAAAAAAACTATCCAGGGGCAACACCCGGGCTTCTTTCCTAGTTATAATTATAGATAGAAAAAAAATACTTGACATAGTTTTTTCTTTTAAATTTCATATGTTTTAATATATTTATTTAATTAAATGTTATCTTTGACTAATTTTTTATAAAAAAAAAATACGATGTGCATCACTTTATAAAAATGTAGGTGTATATTAGTTATTTAAAAAAACACATTTGAGAGAGAGAGAGAGAGAGAGAGAGGTATCCAACAACTTCTTAGACCATCTCCAATGCATTGAACTCATATGAGTTCAATGGATTGACACATGTACATTTCACTCACTATATAATTTTACCTATTAAACTCTACAATCCATTAAACTCTATACAATTTATGGATTCCCTAATCATTTATCATTTTCTTTTTATTTATTGTTATTTTTTTTAAATTTAATTAGCATGAAAATAAAAATTAAAAACTACAATTAAAATTTACTTTAATTAAAAATTTAAAAAAAATAAATTTAATAATATATATATATATATATATATATATATATATATATATATATGTGTGTGTGTGTGGGGGGGGGGGGGAGAGAGAGAGAGAGAGTATAGAGTTTAATGGGGATTGAACTCCCTATTCTATGGAATCCTAGTCATTTTCCCACAATGGAGATTTTAAGTTTAATGAGATTAAACTCTCTATTAAACACCCCATTAAACTCCCATTGGAGATGGCCTTAAGATTTTTTTGGCATGTCTTAAAGGGCGACTTTTACCATCGAGCCACCTATGTTTGTAGCTAAGTAGCTATAGAAATATGTTTATTTATCTTTTTTATTTAGAATTGTTTTATCACATTAATATTTATTGAGGTAAACCGCCATTATTGTATCTCACATAGATATGTTAATTTCAGAATGCCTAGATAGAGAACATGAGATATATGTTGAGTTGCTTCTTTTAAATGATTACATAGGTTCGTCTTTAATCTTCCTGGGTAGCTGACCATTAGAAGTGGTCTCTAGTCTTGGTTCACCGAGAAGGGAAGTTGCTTCACCTTGCACCAACTCCAAGCCATATTTACATGTCTGTCTTCGGTGAGACCTGCCCCCACATAAAATCGGATAATATAAACTCCTCCAACCACAGAATGCGTCATGTAAAATCGCCCGGTTGCATTCACCAATTCCAATAACATCTGGTTCAATTCATTTGCTTTATGGTCGTTGTCACGGTGCTGACTAATAGCATATGGAGAAACTCTAAAACAAACCATAGAAAAGTATCGTGGCACCATAATCTCAAACCTAGCGTCCATGTTGACAAGGCCTTCAATATCCTTGGCCATTTTCACATGCTTTCTTATGTATTCCCACAAAGCAGTCGTCCCATAGCTCATTAGCACCATCCATAACTTTAAGGCTTGGAATCTTCGTGATAATGATATCTGCCAGTCTTTGTAGTCGACGACTTTCCCTAATTCAGTGGATTCGTTTGCCATCAACCGCTACAACATTAAAACCCTATGGTAACGACAATTTCGGACCCTATACCGACGACTTGTCATCGGTATACCGTATACCGACAACTTGTCATCGATATAGAGTCGTCGGCGTAGTCGTGTCGGCATAGGTCAATAGAGTCGTCGGTATAGATGTCGTTGCGATAGCTGCACCTATTCTGACGACTAGTCGCCGAGAAAGAGTTTGTCAATCATATTTTCGGGGTTAAAAAGTAAAGTTTTATTAATTACCTATAGCGACGACTTGTCGTTGGCACACCTATAGTGACGACTTATCATCACCACAGGTTTAATCTATTACGATGACTAGTTGTCGCTATAGGTTTTTAACAGGAGCCAATGACATACCTATACAAAACATGAATCTATTGACAATTATCGTTGAAATTTGATTAACATGAACATTATCACATCAAAAACAAGTTTATAAGTTCAAAAACAGCTTAGGGTAATGTTCCTAGTCTATTTCTAGCCAAAACACTCGAAAATACGTTGTCTAGGGCTCCTACTCGTCGAGTGTATCAACCTACTCAATGAGTAGGATGATTTTCTTCATGGAATCGGTGAGTTCATCAGTGGACTCGGCGAGTCCAGTGCCCAGAAAGCCAGAAAGTCGATTTTTTCAGCAATTTGCATCAAGTATAATTAAAAACAAGCCTAGGCTCTGATACCACTATTGGGGTTTTGAGCATTCTAACACTCCTAAGTGTACATGCAACCCTAAATACCATGGATCTATGTTTTTTCTATTATACATGCAAATATGAACTTTCCAAGGTATTCATCCTAACTAGCATAATAACATTGATTCATATTAATATATCAAGTTAGAATTACATACCTTTTTGATGTAGAATGTCTTCATGAAGCTTGAGTGCCTAGTGCCCCAAGTGTGACACCTCAAATGGTTCACACAACACTAAATACACTTGGAATAGATTAGAGAGAAATCCATACTTCATAAAAATCGGCTAGCCCTTTCACATATTATCTAGTGCCAATTTTGTCAACAATAAGATGCTTATATAGTTAGTGACAATTGGGGTAAACCCTAATTGTCATGGCTTTCCATTTCCTTGGATCCATGGGTTCAAATATACCATGGAGCATCCATGGAGAATCTTATGGGTTTTAGCCCAACTTGATAATCCATGGTGTCTTAGCCCACTATACAAGTATGGATCATTTACACAATCAACCCATATATTAAATTAGTCTTCTTTTGATCACTTAATTAATCATAGATTAATTCTTGATCAATACTAATTAAATAATCTTATTAATATATTAGAACTTATAATATATTAACAAACCTTAAGTGTTATTTCTCTCATTATAGTCTATCCAAATGCATGATGTCATGCAACCCAAATGGACCTTGCCGGGTCGGGTCAAATCTTACCAATTATAGTTGTGGACTTAAACATTAATCCAACAATATGTGCCCATATAGATGTAAGAATTTATGGGTTATAGCTCTAACAGTCTCACTAGACGCATATTCTTAGATGGTATTGCTAGAAAAAAGAAGCATGATAAAATTGGTTGCATAAAAAATACTATTTATAAATTGAAACAAACACTTTGTTTTTCTAAAGAAACTTCATATAATCAAATGCATGAAAAAAAATTGGTTGCATAAAAAAAATACTAATTATAAACTACGAGTTATCAAAGAAAATATATTTGATTATTTCTTTTTCAAAAGAAATATCTGATGTGCGTAAACTCACTTAGTTTTAATCCTACTTTTAGTTGTAAAATAAACACACAAAGGCAGTGTACCTATCAATTGTGGAATAGTTTAAGCAAGTAGGGTATCGATGTAACGCCCGTAGATCCAGGCTAGTGAAATTAGAGGCAATAGGGGTCGAAAATGACTTTTTGACAAAAGATTATTTAGAATAAATAATCTTAACCAAGTTTTAGAGTGTGTTACAAGATTTTCGTGCATATAAAGAACGCCGAAATCCGAGTTATAACGAAGAAGTTATGACCCGTCGAAGTTTCGCGTCAGAACCGGCACGATACCGGGAAAGCGTAAATAGTGAATTTACGATAGACTGAGATTTAGCCTTAGAGATTTAAACGAAATTCGTAGAATATGTTAAACTAAGAACATCAATAAAAAGAACGCCCAAATCTGACTTCGTATGAAGAAGTTATGATTTTTCGAAGTTTCGGATTAGCAGTATACAACCCAAAATTCAAATATTAGATCGAATGATTTTTAGCCGACACAACCTGAACGATAATCGAAGATCTCGATAAGAGTAGCGTAACGAGAAAAAGATGAGCGAAAACGGACGTCGGATGAAGAAGTTATGAGGATTTAACGGACCAATCCTGTCCCGGTCTGTTAATAATATAAAATTTAAAATCTAGTCAAAATTAGCCGACGAAGTCTAAACGAAAGTTGTAGAGTATGTTCCCACCTTCGCGTGGATATAAAGAACATCGAAAAAGGAGCTCGTATGCAAAATTTATGATTTTTAGAAGTCGGAGTATGAATTTGCGAAATCTGTTGCGAAATAATGACGTGGCTCGATCAGGTCCGTTGCTTGCTGAACACGGTCTTCGCTTCGGATCACGCCACGTAGCATCGCTTTACGCCCCGCGTCCGAGTTCGGTACGCCCAGCGTACCGGGTCCTGTCCGAGTGTGAGCCAGCTGTGCGAAGCTGGCAACCTTATCCGGGACTACGCCCAGTGTAGCTGCTAAACGCGCAGCGTAGTTCGAGGCCCCCAGCCCTGTAAATAGATGACCGAGGCTGCCATTTCTCTTCACCCCAAAACCTCTTCTTTCTCTCACTACTTTCTCGCTCTAGCACCTCTAAACACCCCTAAGCCCTAGATAAAACCCTTAGCCCCCGAGGCTTCCGGAGTCCCGAGAAAAAGAGTCTTTCGGTTTCGAAATGCTGCTCCAATTAAGTTCCAGTTTTCGATAAAATTCACTATAAGTGTGCTACGCTTACACAGTTTTTAATAAAGCTTTCAAATAATTATAGGAATGTTATTAGGTCCTTAAAATAATTATTTGGGCTACTATTATGAGTTGTATTGAGCGTTATTAACGCTTAATAATAGTCAGACTAATTAATTTGTCGCGGTTATCGTTAGACTAAACCCTAGTGGTATTGGTACTAGGTATTATCGAAGGAATATCGTTTTGAGAGTATCGAAGCACTGTCCGAGTGCTGAGTCACCACCTACTCTGGTGAGTGCATAGTTCCTTTTCATCTTACACATAAATATGAAGTATTTTATATAAACTACGTGCTATGTGTACATATTATCTAAATACTTGCTGTCTATGTTGGATGAACGTTTTATACATATTTTAAAGAATTTAAACTGTATATGTATTTTTACAAATATGTTGGGTATGAGATGGGTAGATGAATGATGAGAGATAGAAGATGATGTGAGTATACATTGGCAGTTATAGACTTAGTGCCTATGGGACAAACACCGGTAGCTATGGACTTAGTACCTGTCAGACGTTGGTAGCTATGGACTTAGTACCTGTTGAGCACTGGTAGCTATGGACTTAGTACCTGTTGAGCACTGGTAGCTATGGATTTAGTGCCAGTCCTATAACCCTGGGAGTAAGGGACTTCGGAATAAACGAGTGCAGGATAGATGACTCTTAGGTTAAATTCTTAAGAGTAAAGAGGATAACGGGGATGGGTAATGGGGTTAATTGTTTGATGACTGAACATAACAACTATATTATTGTAGGTTTGAAAACCCTATGTACTCACCAGGTTTCCCAACCTGACCCACTCAGTTTATGTATATCACAGGTGATGAAGTGAAGTGACATTACACTGAGAGATTTAAGGAGATGTAGATCACTAGTGTAAATCATTGTAAGTTCTGTTTATTCTTATGTTTCAGTATTAACGATGACATCCCAAACGTTTTAAAATGAAATAAATACATTTCTTCGAAAATGTTTTGATAACGTATTTATCGTATTTTTCTAGGAACAAATTCTGCAACATTTTTATGAAAAGAAGTACTCTGATTTTTATAAAGCATAAACAAAATCGGTCTTTTCTGGCAGTGATTTTTGGGGATGTCACAGTTGGTATCAGAGCATTAGTTTAAGCGAACTAGGAATATGGATTTATTTCTAGACTTAAACTTAGAATGGTAAGCGATGATTGTGAGGTGTGAGCACTAGCTTATTTTAGGAATGATGCCTAAATTGCTTTTATGTGCTAAATGCTTTGTGCATGATATGTTGTTAATTGTTCGGATCTATGGTCTGTTGCCGACCGGATCTGGAAACCTTATATGTTTAGGATTCTAAACGTACGACTACGGTATTAGAACTAGCATGTAAACGTTTCGAAGTGATAAGGATGATTTAAACGTCAAGTAAATGTCTAAATTCACCTTATTCGGTGTATAGATCGAGATGGTAAGGACCCATAGCGGAAACGTAAACGCAAATGGGAACAGGAACCAACCCCCAGTGGTTCAGCAAATACCTGTTCTTGAAGAAGTTGCGCCTGAGCCAGTCACCATGGCTAGAGTTGAAGCCATGATTCGGGCTATGTTAGCTGAACAAAGGGAAGAAATGAGACAGATGTTGAATAGGGACGAACCTACCGTACATGTTGAACCGACGGAGCCAGTTCCCGAGCAATCTGAGGAAGGGAACTACACCCGCCAAGTGAGTCAAGTAGGGACTCAAGGTGAGCAAAGGGATGGCCCAGAAGGGATAAACAACAAGGATGGGTGGATGTACAAGAATTTCTTGGGTGCGAAACCACCAAGCCTCTCAGGAAGCCCGAAGCCGGTTGAGATTATGGATTGGATCTCTGAGATGGAGATGGTGTTTGAGAGTTGCAGCTGTAACGAGAAACAGAAGACTGTCTTCGCAGTAAAACAGCTGAAAACTGGAGTCTTGAGCTGGTGGAAGCTATTGGCAGATACGATGCCATGAGGAGAAGCCTTAAGGATGTCATGG